GCATATTCAAGACAAAAAATGTCTAGAACTACAGTAAGAGTTTTGTATTACATCTCTGCAAAAACCCATAAAACATTGTGCTTTACGCTTTATATCCTCCCCTTCAGTTGCCCATGATTGCTACAAAAAAATCCCATACTCTGCAGGGTAGAAAGCCACAAGGGAAAGATTTTGTGTTGAGAAGCACCTTGTGTATGCTGTTGACCATTGCTGTCTGAACTGAATGGGAATTGTTGGAACAAAGACCTTTTAAATGAATGCAAAATATCTTAGATTCAGTAATAGCAATTTTGTGCTTGCGTTTGCTATTTTTATTTGTGTTTGTATCTGAATGGTTGAGATGATCAAGAACAAAGTGTGTTCCTGTAATGTGTTCCGTGGTGATGGTCGTTCACTTAGTTTGGTAGAACAAGCAGAATAGCAAAAAAACTGTCATAATTTAATTAGGACAAATTAATTTTGTAGTTCTGTTGTTAACCTTAGAGAGATAGGAAGACGTTTTGGGCATATGGTAGAGCATGTATGCTCCATATATGGAGTTTGTATCTTCTTACTGGATGCCACTGCTGCATGCAGGAATTTTTTTCAGACTAAAAGTTTTGATCCTACTTAGATAGTCCACACAGACCTTTCTAAAAATAGTTTTAAATTATTCTGATTTTTTTAATGTGTAGGTGAAAATACCATGTAGTGCTTTAGTAGGTTCTGATAGCCTTTATGCAGGTAGCTGTCTGAAAATGACCATCTGAATTAGCACAAAACCTATTTTTTGGTTTCTTTTTTTCTGTCCTTGACTATTTACTTCATGGTTACCTGCCTTCTGTAGTTGAATTTGATCATCATTGGATTTCCATTCCTTATGTTCCACTATCCCACTGTCCTTTTTGTCTTATAGACGAATGCCCTGTAGAAGTGGACTACAGTTGTCTGACTTTCACGAGAGCAGGACCTCTCTGGAGGCGGTTATAACTTGTAGTAGCTGATCTCACAGTGTCTCTGCATTGGCTGTGAGTGGGTTTTCCTGCTGTGGATGCGTGTAGAGGTTTCAGGGCAGGATGAGGATGTCAGCTGTGGTCACTCTTAACACCTGTGCCACACACACATGAAGAGTGCTCCGCAAAACAGGGTTTGGTGACTACTTAGGGAATATGCGTAATATCTTTCCTTGGCCCTTCACCCCCCTGTCTTTTCTACACCTCTTTGAAAGTGGTTTTTGTAGTAATGACTTTTGTTTTTCTTCCTCCTCTTTTTTTTTTTTTACTCTCTTGCACAAGAAAGAAAGGGGAATGGGATTCTCCTGAACTCCTGAGGATTTAGTTCCTTCACCTCTGTCTCGGGACTGATGTGCTGGAAAAATACAGCAGCTCTGGGGATGGAGCCACCCATACATACTCATCGCTGCTTAAAAAATCCAGGTGCTTCTCTAAGGTTCCAGGTACTAGAGGAGATGCTCCTGTTGGAAAGCTGCTTTACTGAGCTCCTGCCTGTCTGCCTTCCTCCCCTGGGGCCAGTGGTGGTGAGCAAGTTTAATGAGGAAGTTACAGGAGAAGCAATTTCTGCTAATTGTCAGCATCCATTTGACACTGCAGGGATGCTGAAGCTTAGGATCTTGGCCACATACATGTCCGTGACTCAGTGAGGAGCAGTAAATGTCTACTGAATTATTCTTTTTTTTTTTTGGCAAATATTTTTACATTGATTTGTTACTTTCAAAAGAGCATTTCGGTCATTCAGCTTCTTTCAAGGAAGCAATGTTTTAGCTTTTCCACAGCCTTACTGTGGGAAATCTTTCCATGAAGCAGACTCCGCTGCGTTTGTAACAGGATGAAGGCACCACTTCAATTTTCTGATGACTCGGCATAGTCTGACTAGGGAGAGAATGATAGTGATTACTGATTACCTACAAAAGAAAAGTGTTTAAAGTGATCGTGGCTTTGCATTACTGCTTGTAGATTTTGTTTTTTAATTTTATGATAACTTGTAGATATCTTTGCAAAACTGTTTGCTCCCTTCTATGCCTTTCCTATCCTACACTCCCCCTGCCAAAAAAGCCACCTGAAAACCAATACACAGAAAAGAAAAAATCAGTAGAAAATGTCACAGCAACGGCTGAGAGTGCTCTGAGGTGTGTTGTAGGAGGTGGTATCAGTGACCTGCTGGTGCGGTATTGAGGGTAATGCCCAGTGGTGTTCTTCAGTGAGCTAGTCTCCTTTACAAAATGTAGCCACTTGGCCCATAGGAAGAAATATTAGGCTTTGCTTCAAAACCAAGTCCCTGTTTCTGGCAAAAAGCAGAAGTGTGTAAATGGAGGAAGATGCATTTAGCATCCAAACTCCTGTGGGAATTTAAGTGGGGACAAGGAATAAGCATTGAAGCCAGTAATATTTTCTGTTTGGAAGATGGAAATTAGGGGTAATAAATGTAAATAATGGTTAGAGGATTTTTTTTTTTCCCCCCACACAACTTATATAGGAATTATTTGTTTTGCGAACCATTACATTCAGAGAGAGGTATAATATTCCCCTTCCGCAGCAGAGTGAAACTGAAGCTCCTGTGTGTGGGTTTGGTGTGCCTGCAGTTGCTCAGTTCCTAGAATGGGCTTTCATGTGTGTGTAAAATTTTGGGGTCTTTTTTTTTTTTTTTCTTTTGCCTAATGGGCAGATGATGTGCTTTCTCAGGACAGAAGGCTTGATTCTGCAGTGCCTTCATGTGTCCAGATGTAGCTAGTCAGGAGTGTTCAATTCCTGGCAGACTCAGAAGTGGTTTAGGGGTGAATCTGGCTTAATAGTTTTCTATCCCAAGCTATATTCAGTAACTGGAGAACATCTTGGTCTTGGCTCTCCTGTCTCCAACTGCTACCAGCAACTTTCTTAACTATATGCTGACAAAAATGAGGCGCTTTCAAATGTTAAGATTTGTGAATGAATGAAGTGTTACAAGGAACTGCAAATTAAGAGTTTTCCAGAGAATGTCACATGTACGCCCCCAGATCTATCGTTTTCACTCTGATCAGTGAGTTTTGCACAAGATTTGGGGATAGCAGGCAGTCCCAGGCTTGTTATTCAATTAGAGTGTAAAACCACCGACAGTTTCTTTGACAGCTGAGAAGTCAAATTTGCTTTTCACCTAAACATTTAGGTGTTCACCCTTTCAAAAACGTCGGTATTACGCATGATGTCCTTAAACATTTTTTTTGGTATTAATTGAAGACTTTAAGCACGCGGCATTCTTTCCTCCTTCCGAAGTGAATACATTGCAAAGCAGATTTTCACGATTTTTTTTTAAGAACCCTTTGCATAACTTGCAGGCACTACAGTGATAGTGGATACATTGTCTAGAAGCTTATTAATTTATTTTTTTAGAGAAAGCATCATTGTTCTTACGAGGTATGACTCAAATTTTTTTCCTCTCTTGGACCTCTGGAGGATGAACATACTGGTTATTGAAGGCCTATACTGGAGCTCTGCATGTACTCATACTGTTGATTTGTAAGGATACACAATGTGTTGCTCAGCTATAACGACTAAGAAGATGCAATGTAATGTGGTGGAGATGAGTAAAACAGGATTTCTTCTTTCAACATTATCTTTATTGATCAGACTTTTGCGGGGAGCAGATATGAGTACAGCTTTCTCTTGAAAATTCACATAGATATTTTTACATGTGTGTTCTTAATTTGGCTGTTTGTGTCTATAAGCCTAATTCATGGAGTTAGGTTTGATCAGCAAGTAGAAGTTAAGGCAAGACACTGTTCATTAGCTGTCAAGGTATCTGTGAATTACTCATTTCCAGACTGGGTGATTGAAGAAGATGCTATGTAGGTGACTGTTAAATCCTAACATGTGTGGATTTATAGTCTCTTATTTTGAATAATACAGCTTACTGACCTTTTAATAGAAAAAAAAATAATCACTTATCCTCAGTACACACTTTGTGTCTTTTATACCTGTCTTAGATAGATTACAGAAAGAAGTGACTAAATTAGAGGCCTGTCGGCATGTATGCTTCTAATGGCATTATGTATTTATTTGTTATATTGTGATGGTGTTTCTTTGATTTCCAAATAAAATAAAAACTCGTGAAGTCAGTAACTTTGTCTTGTGTTCTGAGAACAAGGGGAAGCTCAGTCCATTGACATGGAAGAACGTGTGGAGTCAAAAATGAATGGAACTGTACTTCTGCTTTAAATAAAAGATAAATGGGTTACTTCTAATAGATAACACCAGTTAAAGCAGTCGTAATTTCCATGCGGCTTTATCCTGAAGTTCAGAAAGGGTCTGTTGATGCTATGCAGAAGATAGTCCTTCTCTTTTTAAGTGCAGCAACCAGTGTTTCTAAACAGTCATTACCAAGACCTGTACAGCTTCTTCATTTATACATGTATTTTCTGTTTTTAAATAGTTCAAGGGTTAGATCTGGTAATAAACAAAGATATTTCAATCCATCTCAATAAATATTTGTACATTTATGCCTGACCTCAAATATGTTTGATAAGAACATAGCTTTCAAGAACCTTGTTTGCTTCACTCTTCTCAATTTTCTCTTTTTTTATTTTTTTTTCTTCCCCCTTTTTACTATTAGCATGATTTGGATATGTTGCTTGAATGGATAGAACTAAAAAAATATATTTATTTTTTTCCATGTATATGAGGGGAAAAAAGATTGTCGTCTTTGCAACTTTTGTAGCATAATGTGTCATGATAGCCTTGTACTCTTGGACAACAAGGAAATAAATTTATTTTCTCATTGTAATGTTTCATTGTAATGTTCATATGCTTCATGTTAAGTTAGTAAGAAATGTCACATGACTTAAACATTTAGAAAGTTTGCTGCATGAATCTCTCATATTTTGGTTACAAAAACGTATTTCAGATTCCATGTCATGTGAAATATTAATAATGTTTTGAGGTGTCCTTTAATATTGTTAAGTCTTTTTTTAAATTTTTTTTCAAAGTTACCCTGAATGTCAAAAATAACTAAGACCATTCTGGTTTCTGCAGTACTTTGGAAGCTTGCTTGTGATATTCTGTGTTGAACTGGCCTGTGGTGTTTGGACCTACGAGCAGGAAATAACGGTGAGTCAGAAAAGGAGGCTGCATTTTTTCAACAGAAGAAAATAAAGATTTCCATTAGCTAGATGTTTTCTAATTGCTGTAGTGTTTATCTTTGTTCATTATTCCGACAGCCTAATTTCATGTGACTGCCTTTTTTTTTTTTTTAAACAGAGAATTCTTCTGGGAAAGCTTGTCTGTCTGGAAGGTTCTCTCTGGGCTCCTCCCCACCCCCTCTGTATTTGAGAGCCAAATCCTGCAGCCCCTGATTTAAGGACTTTATTTTTTGTTAATTTTTGCTTAGGCAGGTTCTCATTGAAATCAGTGGAAGTTTTGAGGATAAAGTATGAAATTCAGGCTTAAGATAAGTATTTTGAGAGAGGAGATGTGAGAATTTGAAAGGCTTTTGCCCCCAGAGTTCTTCATGTTTTAAAGAGCTATAGCTGAGTGTACTATGTGGTAAACACAGTGCTCTTTCAATAGAGGACTTGCTGTCTGCCGAAATCTTCACACTGCCTCCACAAGCTATAAATGCCAGTTTTAAGCAAAACATGTCTTAGCTATAAAACACTCTTCTGTAAACTTGTGAAGAGGTTTTATCTCTGTCTAGTTTTTATAGCTGTACCAACCATTAATTTTCAAACTGAAGACTTGTAACCATCATGCAAGAAAATGGGTGAGTGTTAAGCAGGAATTAAACTGAAATGTTATTCTACTGGCTGCTATATCCTTGGCTTGTACTCAGTCTGGTACATTTTTATGATTAGAAGGACAACTATTTTCTCTGAGCTGCCAAGATATGCCCAATATACCGGTCTTTCCAACAGTGAGTAGCAATTACATAGCAGTAAGATGGGAGGGAGCTTTCTTGATATTTACACGGTACTGGGACCAAAGGAATTTCTGGCAGATCTGAAGTCTGAAGTTACGTGGCAGCACTCATTCCCTTGCGGTGCAGATTCCAGAGGCGTGTTCTAATATAACAGCGACTAAGGCTATCCCTTTACTTTAAATGTCAGCTTACGTTGACGCATTTTAAAATTGGGAATGCGGACAAGAGGTATGTTTCATCCGATGGGCACAGCTGCCCTCTGCGGGGGTTTTGCCAAGGCTGGCGGTTATAACTAACATCCATCTTTCCACAGAAATCTTGTCTGTGGAAGCTGCCTGAAATAACATAGCCTTCAGGGCACTGGTACATGCCTTCTCCTTCCTTCACTGTTCAGTTAGAACCTGCAGTTACGGTGTGTTTTAGTGTGACCCTCAAGCTTTCAGTTACCTGCTATGCTAGTGAAACCCAACCTTGGGGCAGTTTGATAAAAGCTGGCATAGCCTTACCATGTATTAAGGCACTAGTGATGCTGCTTCCCTGCAGAAAAAAAAAACAGCTGTCCCTGTACCCCTTTGCCAGAAGAAGCAGTGCTGAGCTCCATGTCTGCGCCTTCTGCAGTGGGTCACAGTGAACCCAGGTACTCCACGCTCCTCCAGTCCTTCCTCATTCTCCCAGGAGTTTGAGTGTATGAACATAAGCATGCAAATAGAACAGAAAAAAAAACTCTTTATCGTTTTGTCCCTTCTTCTCTCCCTTTATATACATTTTTTTTATATGTTATGCCCTGAAATACTGGGGTTTTTTTTTGGTTTTGTTTTGTTTTCTCTTCCCATCTGATTTGCTCTTCTTTTTCCTTGGTCCTAGCACTACTGCTCTTTGTGTGATGAGGTGGGCCAGGTTCAGGTTTCTTGCTGCTGAGACCCATAGGGAATGTGGCAATCTGGAAGACCGCAGTTGTTTTTCAGTGGTTCTTTCATGCCTGTGCCGGTCACTTCCCTAGAGTATGCTTTCTCCTGCTCTACTTGATAAAGATGATAAGACTCCCTCTTACGCCCATGGGGGGGACTTGATGTGACGTTGATTTCGGCGTAGCATGAAATCACACGAGCCCCTGGTAGGTTTCAGAGAATCAGTTGGCTTTAGCGTAGGTGGGTGGGTGGGTGGTGGTGTCAAAAATTTCACCGAGGCATAACCGCCTCTGCTGATCCAATATGGGCTCTCCTTGGCATGTGGACAAGTTGCTGTAAGAGTCTGTGTATAAACAATTTTCCTTCCAGCTCATGATAGCTCTCAGTGTGAAGTGTGCCTCATGACTAATTTATTCCACCCACAAGATTGAAAAGCCAGCGTGGGTTCTTGGCTTACTTGGGCATTGGTCAAGCTTTGAGACTCATTAGAAAAACAATAATGAGTAAGTAGAACTCAATGGCAAACGGAGCTTTGCAGAACTTATGCTAAAATCATAGCATCTCTGTTTTTTGTTTGTCTCCACAAAAGTGTTGGTGTACAGTCAAAGAAATGCATCTCAAGATCATGTATTGTGCACTACTGCATGCATGAGCTGATGGAAAGCTATTTAGTAGATACATGTGTCCTTAGTTTGACATGTTGGCATTCTCAGAGCAGTTAAACACACAGATTCCAATATCGCTCCGTAGCTCCAGAGTTCAAATTGCCTTCTTACAGTGGGGTTTAGTTTGTTTTGACTTGCTTTTAATTTCCTTCTCTCACTTCTTGATTTTTTTTTTCTTGCTTTCCACTGTTTTCATAAAGAAGTTGGACGCCTTGTGTTTCATGCGTAACCTTGGACTGTATTCAACTCAAATAAGATAATAAAAAAATAGTCTAGCAAATACGAGCTTAATTGCAGCGATAGCAAATATTATCCAAAGAAAGCAGAGTGCTAACTTCCAATGCAGTAGAAAGAGAAATGCATTGATTACAAACCCATATTATTATATTATAGTGACTAGTGTAAATGTTTGCAGTAGAAATATTCTGTGATGCTGTTTTTCTAAGTAGTTTCAGTACTCTGCTGATAACAGTTTTTTCATGTGGACAATTGTGAGTTCAGGGCTTTATAGCTTAAGGAATAAAAATCCTGCTAAGTGAGAGGTGTGTTAAATTTCTGGGATATTATTAATATATTCATAATATTTGAAGCTTTACCACAGTGTCAAAATTGTAGAATAACTTAGCAACTGTAATGAAATATTATCAAATTTTCTTATTTGGATTACAGAGTCAGGCAGGCCATGATTGTCCCTATATTTTGTAGAGCATCTTGCACGACAAAAAACAGGCTCCTTGGGAAGTACTGTGATCTTTTTTCTTAGATAATATTTATTGCTATTTGCAGAATGCCCTTAGCGTTCACTCCAAATTGAATGGGGTTGCTAAGTCATGGCTGCTAGAGTAGGTGGGCTCCCCAGCCCTCCAAATGAAAGTTGATATTGCAATTGTGATTTCTTTCACCATGACTATTAAGGCTAATGGGGACAAGGCAAAACTCAGCATGAATGGTACGTGTGCCGAGAAGGGCAACTGCAAAGTCTTCAGCTCCTTGTTTTAGTTTGGCATGCTGAAACGTGCTGCTGAGCAGAAGTTACTTATTTTGACTCTTAAGTGCATTGCATGCCAGGTGCCATAGCACTTGCTTCTGTTGTTTCTAACAAATTAATAATTGAGAGTCATAGACTGACAACAGAGAGCACCAGCTCCTCGCTTCTGAGGAGTCAGATATGAATCAGAATGGTTTAGGTTGGAAGGGACCTTAAAGATCATATGGTTCCAACCCCCCCTCCCATGGGCAGGGACACCTCCCACTAGAGCAGGTTGCTCAAAGCCCCATCCAGCCTGGCCTTGAACACTTCCAGGGATGGGGCAGCCACAGCTTCTCTGGGCAACCTGTTCCGGTGTCTCACCACAGTCAGAGTAAAGAATTTCTTCCTAATGTCTGATCTAAATCTACCCTCGTCCTGTCGCTACGCTCCCTGATAAAGAGTAGAAAAGTACTTTTTGAATCCTTCTTTCAGAAGAAAGGATTTACAGGGCCGTAAGTGTGTGTGGAAAAAAGTTCACGTGGCCTCATTGCCTGAGCTTTCTTGTTGCTGTCCTTGAGCAAGATACTCAGTCCTAGTGTATTCAGGATATCTGTGTGTGGGACTCCAGGCAAAGCCAGAAAGCCACTGAAAAGACTCTCAGGGTAGAATTCATCTCAAGCAATTTTATGTATTTAGAAGTTAGATGTTTAAACCTAAGTTTGTCACCTTAGACAGTGAAGTGGATTTGAGACTTCCAGGGAATGATCCATCTGCTCTGTTTAAAATATTTATCTTGAGATGAAATGAATTGCCCTGTATGGCTGCGTATTTTATTGACTAAGAAGACACCAAGGAGATACCTAAACTGGGGCAGACAAATGCCATCCCTTATGACTTGGATGGGGCTTGGTTCAAGTTTTAGGGCAGATAAAAAAAAAATAATCTGGTAATGATATAATCAAATTGTACCCAAATGTCTCTGAATATCTCCAAAACGCAGCTCCTTTTCCAGGGCACATTAAAAAAAATAATTTCCTGATGTTTTAATAAAGACTCCTAAAGTTTCAACACCGTAAAAATTGAAGCACTTGTTTCCCTGTTTTGCTTGAATACAGCGTTACTTTGGTCATTGCACTGGAAAGATCTCAAAATAGATCGGTTGCCCTGTGGCTCCAAACCCAGAATTCCATCTATTCTATCAGCTTTACGTTGTGTGAATCACTTTTCTTTCTTTGCTCCAGGTTCCAGTGCAGTGGTCCGATATGATCACGCTGAAAGCCAGAATGACCAATTATGGCCTACCTAGGTACCAGTGGCTGACCCACGCTTGGAATTTCTTCCAGAGGGAGGTAAGATGACAATTAATTCATGAGCTGAAGTAATACATGCTTAGTAAATGTTATTTATCTGCTAAAGGAAAAGGTTTGTTTTTAAGTGAATAGGTAAACGCAAGTTCATTTTGTGTGAAACCCTGTATAGTGATGGTATCTTTTAACATCACTTGATATCCAACTCTTGAGCTTTTGTAGGCCCTAAAGACATTAAAACACCAAAAACCCCCAATGTTACTAAATTCAGTTAAATTGCTGACACTGTCTTCTCCTTTGCCAGTAAGGTTAGGACACCAACACCTTTTAGAATTATTGTAACATTCAAGAATATGATGTATGTAAAATTAAAAATCTGCAGGTAAAGTAAAATAAACATTTCTGTATGCTATTTCAATATTAAACTGTGCTCTCCTTCCTGTGTGCTGTCTTAGTTTCCTTTCATGGGGCTGTCATGGTTAAAATATGAGTTTAGCTGGAGTTGAGTAGGAAGGGAAGCTCCTGAAAAGATGCCAACACTGTCTCTTTGGCTGAGGTAGAGAAAGTGATCAGGATTTTTATTTCCTTTTACCCGGGTGGGTGCGGGAAACAAAGCAAAATGCTGCCTTGTGTATTCACAGCTTTGCCCTCTGGCCTACTAAAATTCAGAACTGTTTTTAAAGAATGAACTATTATGTTACAAAAACATGGAACTGCCCAAGGTAAAGCCCATTAACTCCAAATATGACTCACGTGCAGGAAGAGAACTCTTTAAATGCCTGTCATTGTGCTGCCCTTGTTGAAATGTTGAAATCTATCATTGTTGCACAGATTTCCTGTTTATTTAAACATTTCCTGGCAGCACTTGGATAGTCTGTATTTATACTAAAACCTGAAAGAAGGAGTGAGGACTACACGAGGTTAAACATCCCCCACTCTCCCCAGCCCCCTACTCTGGCTGTGCAAGTGCTCTGTGAAACAGGGTAATCCTTCATATGCAGCTAGTATTTGTGTTTGTTCTGTACCTGAGGTAGTGTAATCAAATGGTCTCTGTGTCCCTGAGTAGAACTTATACTGTATCCTGGTTTAAATGTATAGGTTGATTAAATTAAAAGCTACTTCTTATCCTCCTGGTGGTTGTTGTGTCATCATAATGGCTGGTTTTAATATGAATATTAGTAATAAAACTTCAACTATGCCTTAACTCTTCAGGGGAGAAAAAAATCCGTTTAGAAATTAGATTTCCTATATTCCTTCTCTGACTAGAGGAATGATGTGGGGAAAGTTTGAAGTGAACTGAGAAGGCTCTTTTACAGCTCCTAGTTAATTGATGGGCTCTCATTTTTATTCTTTCTGCTCATAACTCAGACAGTGGATGTGTGAGCCTGGTATGTGATTTATGCTTGAATGAGCACTATGCTTAGGACCCTTCTTCAGTCAGCATTACAATTTTTTTTCCTAAAGAAAAAAATTTGTAAAGAAAAAATGTAATTACAGTTTTGTTCCCACAGATACACTCCTGATCAGCTTCGTGTTCTTTCTTCTATATCTTTTAACATTTGATAGAGATGGGAAATGTATTTTCCCCCCAACCCCTTGCTCATTTAGTATTAGAGTTGTGACTATGCTAAGGAAAGATGGGTTGGGTAAATTGGAATTGGGAAGGAAGAACTGGGTGAGCGGAAGAAAAGATTTGAGATAAAGAAAAGGATATTCAATGAGATTGTCTTTGCAATTACAATAAGGAGCCAAAGCTTGAGCTTTCCTTAGCAAGTCCCATGTTGGGAGAATTTTGACTGACTAATGAACTGATAAAAACGGAGACATTAAAGCTGTGGCGAAAAAGGAAGAAATGAGATTTGTAAGATGACTGGTGATGTCAAGGTACAATGTGTGCCAGCGTGGTGGCTGGGCACTGCTCTGCTTGATTGTGGCCGAGGATTGCCATGGTACACACAACTCTGACGCTGAAGTGGGTCAGGGGGGCAAAATTTTCCCAAGCCTATGGCTCAAAGGAACCAGGTGATGAATTACAAACACTCAGGCTGGTACTGGAGAACATCCAGACAGAAAAAAAGCAGCATCCTGTTCCTGCAGCAAGGCTTTTCTTCAGTCATATCGAGTCCCCATCCAATGCTGAAGAAAATCTAATGTAGCTGCTTCAGCCTTTTTTTATGTGCGAGCAGCCAGGAATGTGGTAGGCTGGTTGTTTGGCTTTAAATCTCTCGGTGTGCTTTGCAGAGGAGAAAACAGGTTGTTAGTCCTGGTGGTTTTTATAGCCAATTATGGCTCATCTGCTTTACAACTAGACTTTCTACTTTTATGATTGATTCTGTTGCAGTGTTTATTTTAGTGTGATACTCCCTCCTTCCATTTTCCTTTTTTCCTTTCAGCATTTGTGATTTCTATACCTTTTTGCTCACTGCTTTCATTTTTTTTTTTTTCTGTATTCAGATAAATCTTTTTCTCATGTGGTTTTCAACAGATAGTTGTAGCCTTGCAGGAACAGTCCTCACTAATAAGACCTTAATCGTCATTTCCTACTGCTTCCTTCAGTTGTTCGTTGGTCACCCTTTTGACATGAAATTATCATGTGTTAGTTCCTTGTAGTAAGGATAGCAGAATCACAGGGTAGGACAATTACTGTGAAGCATCCTTTGAGGGAGCGGTGGGATTTAAAGGGCAGAGCAATATCATTGGCTGTTTCTGAGGTGTTCATCGGTCACTACAATACATTTTTCACATTGCTTTTATGTCGAAGTACGGCAGAAGAAGATACATGGAAGCTCTTGTAGATGTTTTTAGTCCTACAGAAGTATTTTGTAAGTTCTTAATAGGAATTTATTTAGCTTGTTTGATCACCTACTTTTATGAAGAAGTAGCATCATTATTGCTGATCTTGGCTAATCCTTCCTTTGCAGTTTAAATGTTGTGGGGTGGTGTACTTCACAGACTGGCTGGAAATGACAGAGATGGACTGGCCGCCTGACTCCTGTTGTGTCAGAGAGTTCCCAGGATGCTCTAAGCAGGCACATCATGAGGATCTCAGTGACCTTTATCAGGAGGTAAGAAGAAAACCGTGGGTAGTTCGGAACGCTTTGTACGTTCTTCCTGATCCAGTCACTTTCCAGACTCTTCACTTGCAGTGCAGCAGTAAGGTTTGTAGAGTAGTTGTGTTTATGGAAAGTGTTTATTTATGTTTATTATTTATTAGTGTTGAAAGGGAGGGGAAGGAGGGAAGAAAGAAAGAATGAGCGAGCTCACCCACCTTTACCTGGAAGTCAGATAACTTAGTAGCAATGCAGTTAACATCTTAGATATGTTTTATATTGGTTAGGTTGGAGTTGAAGTTTGCTCTAGTCAAAAAATAAAAAGTTAGTTTTTGTGTACTGTCCAGTGTCCACCTTGGCAAACTAAGAGAAATTCTACTTACCCTGTGGTAATGAGGGCTCTAGTGGTATGTATAGTGAAGGATGCTTTTCAGAAGTCCTTTGGAAAATGAGAGGTCTCTTGTTATCAGGGCTTGTGAAAGGAGGCAGGTAATTGAGTTGCTCTGCTGTGAGCATGCATAGAAACTTTGTGTGAAAATGTTCTTTCTTTCTAACTGCTACATTACAGCAGGATTATTATTTTAAGAGAATAATTAAAAAAAAAAAAAGGCTTAAAACCAGGAAAGAACCTGTTTGAACTCAAAAAGTGGGCAAGGGGGGAGATCATGGTAGCAAGTCATTACTGTTCTTAGGGTGAAAAGTATATATAAAAAAGTAAACGTATTCTCTACTAAAACTATTCTTAACTGTTCTCACAAAAGAGTTGTCCAAAGTCACCTTTGTCAGGAAACTGCTACCTGCCTTTTTTTTTTATGCTAACAGATCTTTGAAGACCTTTAATTGTGCATTCAGTAATATTGGAATGACCAACAGTCCAGGTAGTCCAGTAGCGACAAAAAGCCTGTCTCAGCCAAGTAGTTAGGAGGCTCTGAGAAGAGGTGCGTTCTTCATTTGTGTGTTTTAAGAGTAACATAGGGTGGATAGGAAGGAGGACAGGCCTGAGAAGCATGCGATCACGTGCTGCAGCATGGACATTTCTCTAGTGGACAGCACAACTCTGCATTATGGAAGAACACACAAAGACCCATTTTATCTTATCCCAGTCTCTTAGTGCTGTTCAAGACTCTTTCTTACAAGAATCTGTTATGTGGCTCTTGTTCAGGAGCTGTGGAGAGATACCTCTGAAGCAGGGGAGATTCACTATATGAACAAGCCAAGATGAGTGTTAGCTGTTGCCAGGAAACAATCAAATTTTGACAAAATGGCATCACTGCCATGGAGTGATTTGCTGGATTTGTATGGCATTGATTCCATGAGCAGAAATTATATAGTCTATTCCGGACTTTCAGACATCCATCCTAGGCCTTGTGTGCTTCCACTAGGAAGAGAGAAGGTAGAGCTGCCAAAAGACAGATGCCTCAGAAGGCCAGTCTGTGCTAGGGAACCTTAAAGACAGTGGCAGAGGCTGTTTTCTTTCCACCAGCTACTTATAGAGCCTCACCTGCTTTATGACAGGGCTTGCAGCACTGGTTACACTTTAGAAGTGTCAGTCTCTGAATGGGAAAGTCAGTCAGGCTTCTTCTGGGCACTGCCAATCTCTTACACATTCTTGAAGAAGAAAGAACTGTGGCTCACTCTGCAATAATGGTTGTTTTTTGTAACACCATTTCCAGTATTGATACCATACAGCCCAACTCTGCTATAAAGAACCCTCAAGGAGCATAGATGTATGGAAGCTGCAGAACGTTAATTTGTCCTGAGCATCCTTCCTGCTTACATGAAAAAGCAAGAGTATGTAAGCAGTGTCACTCAATAAAATACTATTTTTTGAGCTCAGGAAGCTTAGAAATTTCTGAGAAGACACGAGTGTCTTGTTGAAACTGCAAGGTTTTCTCATCTCTTCTGCTAACATTCCATTTCCACAGCTGTATTCCAGGAAAGTGGTTCTCTGTGCGCTTTGTATGTTCAGGTTCTTTTGGTTCTACTTTGAGAAAATGAATAGCCAAAGATAATGATGGTGTAGAACATAAGGGCTCTGTTGAGACGCACTTGATAAAAAGAAAGGCTGCCTGACTTTTTTTCTGAAAGAAACCTGAAAAGCACATTTCTGTTTCTTCCTATCATACCCTAGAGCATTTTGGATGGATTCAACTCTTAGCAAAAAATTCTTTTTTGTTGTCCGCTGCAGAATCTGTTCCAAAAAGGGACAGGATGTTTCACTATTTACAGAAATACTCCATTGCTCTTTGAGATATGTACAATATTTGGTTGGCAAAATACTTTTTTTTCCATGGTGCTTGCCTGTGGATTGTCTCTCAGGCTCGTCCAGTATACTTGCTAATATGTTTATCAGTATCATGGAAAACCAACTTACACTTGCAAGGCTAATCTGTCTGACTTCTGCTTTGGAGAATTGAAGGAGAAAAGCTTTTTTAGAAAGTGATTCAAAACCAACTTGCCTACTCTGGTGGTTTGAGAGGGAGCCTGATGAGATTAGCCTCGCTAGCCTAAAATTGGCTTATGCAAACACTTTGCTAGTCCATTCTGGTACTTCAGAAAAATTCTTTGTAATAATTCAGACAACTGAAGTTTGGCTTGGCTGGGATTGATAAAATGGTTTTGTTGTAGCTGTGCTGTAATTTTCTGCTGGGGTCTCAGAGCTTTCTCTAGTCGAAGGTAGAATCCTTCACAATATGATTTTTGTAGAAAGAAAGGTGGCTTACTCATAGTTCTGCCTGAGAATAGTTTTGGCAGGAATTGCATTTCTACTGGTGGATTTTGAAAGCTATTTCTCAATGTGTTAGTTTTCTTGGACTAGTTTTATTCTGATGAGCTTCACCTTTGGTCAGTTCATGGAGCAGACTAACATTGGAAAGAGCGTGGCTGGGAGGGAGGTGTGTCAGATGTTGATGTGGCCTTGGAGGTTCATTGTGGTCTGAGGACAAGGGGAGCTCTGCCCATCTTGTGATCGGGAGCTGTAGCCTGAACAAAATTATTGCTAGGAGTTGGTATCTTCAGGAAAATCAAAATTGCATCTTCAATATGTTTTCTTTTGTTTCATAGCATAATTTTGAGTATACTCCAAATTTGAGTATGCAGCAGATCTGTTAAACATGCTGATGGCTTATCTTTTCTACTCTGAGAAGTGCCTTATTTAAGAACTGGTCCTTATTCTGTGATGTTGTAAATCAGAAGTATATGCTTTGTTTCCATTTTAAGACTGAAAATATAAAATGGCCTTTGTAATAAATATGAATCAGGCCTTTAATCCAAAGCTGTGTGGGAGTTTGAAGCTAATTCTTCTGAATGATTGCTGCAAAGTTTTATGCTATTTTTGAGTTGTCAACAAGAGCTCCCTGTTTAGTGACAAACTTCTACTTTTGCCGAGGAAAGTATATTTATGTACTCTTTAATTGCCGGCAACTGACTATCAATGTGTGGCATAAGCAGAAATAAAATGCACGAATGTGAGGATAACAGGGGTGGCTGGATATTTCTTGAATTTTAAGCTGATTTTGAACATGTATTAGAGCAGAACTGTAGGAGCATCATTAAATGGAGGGAGGCAGTCTGTCTAGATTGGGCATAATTTGTCTCAGTTATGTGTCTGTACTGCAGGAGATGTAGGCATTTATGTTACTGCTCTCTGTTAATGGATGTTTCCTCTAGGCAACAAACAACTGAATTTGAATACTGCTGTGGGTGAGCATTTTTAAATTGTGACCAGCATGTACCTTCATCCCTTAAAGTTATTAAAAGTATTAAACTGCAGCCAGTTTCTCTGTAATTAAAAACAAATTTGGAAGGTAGTATAATTACAACACTGTCTTCCAGTGGAAGATAAAAAAAGACACCAGTATGATAATTGCTGTTCCTCATCAACTTCAATTACATTGCTTTTGCTACAATGCCGGATTTTGATATTATTTTTTTTTTCAGATTTCAAAGAAAGCACATTTATTCCTTGTTCTGTCTAAACTATGTTAATGTTTAAAAAATGACACACTGATGAATGGAGCAAAGACACTGAAATCTTTTAACTTACTCTGCTACAATTTATATATAGTACATTAATTTTATTTAGGTCCTAAATGAGAATCTGTTGACTGCAGTATGAATTTTGTGTGTGCGGCAAGAACCAGGCCTTTCATCAAAGACACTCAGGACTGTAGCATTTGAAATTGTTGGCTTTGGGGAATTTCAGTGTGATTGAAAACTGTTATTTATCATGTCCTGTCTTCAGATTCTGTCACTTTGATCAATTGCTTTCTTTTGATAGAAAAGCTATAAGAAATACGTAGTAAGGATATAAACGCAAAAATGACATTTTGAAGATAGTGCCCATTTTGATGGGTTCCTGATGTCCTCTGCTGGGACCAATGGCTTTTGGTACCTGTGGAGTTATCCCATCCAGATTATTACTCTGAATTTTCCCTTGGTGGCTGTGTTCCTTTGATTTTTGTGCTGTGAAAGCCTGTAAAGTGTAGAATAGAGAATAAGCGTGGCCTAGAGTTGCTCAGGGCCTTCTCTTCAAAGTTTTATCCTTTCTAAGACTGTGCAGCTCCTCTTCTGAGCAGCAAGCATCGTAGCTTGTTTTTACACTGTTGTCCAGTAGTTCCCAGAGCCAGTGTCTGCGTATCGTTGCTACCTTACGAGGGCTTCAAGCTTTCCTGAAGCCTTCTATAGTAATTATTTGTCCATTTAAGCGAACTCTGGAGCGTGCACTGACGGATTGGGAAGGGCCGAACAATCAAAGGGCAACTACTCTTTCTAAATTTCAGTTTCTAGGAAACATCCACTTGTGATGTTTTTTACACACTTTCTGTTCATCAGACTTCTGTGTAAATAATAATAGTAATTAGTATTCTTCTTTGGATTTACGCCTGCCCAACGGTAGGGAGAGGTGGTGTATGTGACAGTCACCTTAATAGAGCACACGAGTGGTCAGCCCTTGGGAGCAGGGTCGAGCTGCCTGCCTGGGTTTGTGCGGAGCCTGAGGCAGGGCGGGCTCTTACGGCGACTCTCACAGTGGTTAATGAAACGAAACAAGGCAGTCATACAGTGAGGTGACTTTCAAGCTCAAATGCTTGCACAGCCTGCATTGATATAACAAGTTGTGGGACGTTGTCATTGTAGAGACGGACACAACACTGAATATCAAGTTGCAGCGTTCGTATATTTTATTTTACAAGCAGTGCTCTTTTATATCCTTTTACCTGGTTGCTTATCTGCGCATATATTCTAACATTCTACTTTTGCCCAATCTGCTCTCACGCACCATCCAGCCAATACCATTGTTGATCACGCGCTGTTCATGCTCTGGGAAAAGCCAGGATGTTTGCCACCCCTTATCTTGTTTGCTCGGATCTTCTCAGGATTCTCCTGTCTCTTCAAGGGTACACGGGTATCTGTTCAGGGTCAGTGTTAAACTTTTATTTTGATCCCTTGGACCAGCCGAGGTCTCCCACAGGACGTGTCTTGGTACTTGCATTGCTGCAGAGCTGTACGTACCCCGAGTCAGCCCAGGGGCCTGCCATGGCCAGGGGTGGTCCCTGCTGCAGCCAGAGGTGGTGTACAGGAGGGGAAAAAATGTAGAAACCACTGTGCCAAACTAGTTAATTTTTGAACTGGTAGATTTTCCTGTCATTTTTCACAATATTGGCTTCAGCGTTGCCTCCCAGTAACAATGACTTGAAGTTGATATTATTTTTTTTCTTATATTTTTTTCCCCCCTCTGAGCAAATAACCAACACTCTTTTCAAAGACTTTGGGATGTTATTGTGCTTTACGTAGCAACAGCCCAGCACAAGATATGAGATAAAACTGGCTCTTGGTATAATGCTATCGTAATAATTGACAGAGAAGTTTCTACATTCAGATCAGGAATTAAGCTGGTTAATTTTAAAATATAGTCTACAGATAAAGAAGGTAGGTGGAGTGTAACTAACATAAATGTATATGCTTTTTCTAATGAGGAGGTGCTTCTCGTTCAAAAACAAAAGCAGGAGTGGTGCCACATATATGTGGTATTATTACTACTAAGTAAAATTTGTCTGTACCCACTGTATTCTAGAAATTTGTCAGAAGTCCTCTGTTAAAGGTTGTTCTGTTTGATGCTCCTTACTCAGACGGTGTCTGGAATGTAATTATTTTTCTACTCCCTAGGGGCTTTCTGGGGAACTAGTAAAATGGCATTTAATGAGTCCAGATAAAACACTAGAAAAAGAAAAGGTGGGAAGAAACACTGATGAGGTTATGCAGGTCTGTAGACTTTTCCTAGAATATTGTTTTAACTTCAGATTGTAGTATTATTTGTAGAAAAAGTCTAAAGAGTTTAAAATAATTGATAAGCTTGAAGAGCTGCAATTTAAGGAGAGAAACAAGAGGATTAAGAGGATTTAATGGCTTTTAAACCTTCACAAGACCAGTCAAGTTTCTTTAAAAATCAGGTAGTTGATAGGAACTGAGACCAACGTTGAGTGATTTCTGAATTGAAGAGCAGCACAGATCTCCTGGAGATTGTTACGTGCGGTAAACTCTCAGTGTATGAGAAAACTTAAAGATGGCATTATAGAAGCAATTAAAAAGTAGGTAAAATAATTTTCAAAGTATTGTTTGAAGGAGGTGAGAGAGAAATTTTGGTGAGCCAGAAGAGCCAGCAGTAGGTAGGATGAGCTAAACCGTGGGAACTGCAAGCCAAATAATATTGACTAATTTTTTTAATCTATTTTTGTTTCGTAGGGATGCGGTAAAAAGATGTACACTTTTTTGAGGGGGACGAAGCAATTGCAAGTGCTGAGATTTCTAGGAATCTCTATTGGAGTAACGCAGATCCTGGCTATGATCCTCACCATTACTCTGCTGTGGGCTCTATACTACGACAGAAGGGATCCCGGGGCAGATCAGATCATGGCCCTGAAGGGTGATACCTCTCAGCAGCTGTCATGTCATTCCGTGGAGCTACTGAAACCAAGCCTGACGAGGATCTTTGAACACACATCCATGGCAAACAGCTTTAATACACACTTTGAAATGGAAGAGCTATAGGTGATGCAATGAATCTGAGAAGTCACAAAGGGGTTTAATTGGGTTTTGTTGTTGTTTTTTATTCTATTCCATCGAGTATGCCAAATATACCGGCCTTCCTATGCTTCAGAAAACAGCTAATGAATGGAAGTGAAGGGGAGCTGCACAGAAAGAAGGAAAAGCCTGTCAGCTTCTTAGAAGAGCTATGAAACAGTTGATTTTGTTTGTTTGTTTGTTTTGGAAAAGGCACTCCTTCACTGGGCACTGATTCATTCACAGGTAGACAGACAGAACCTCAAAGGAAGCATGATGGGAAAGGAAGAGAAATACTGGTCTTCTGAAGAAAGGACTGTGCTTTGGACAAACAAAATGTGACTTCAGCTGAAATTGACTTACGTTTTTAATAAGCCATTTGGAAAATGTCTTAATCAGGGATCTATGTATATATAATTGTGTGTTTTTGTGTGTGCATGGAAAGCAGAACTAAAATTCAAGTCTACTTGGATTTAAAGATTTGCGAGATTTGTAAAAAGGACAAGATTTTCTTTTTTCTAACAAAACCTTTATCTTAGCCGTTGTTAAAGATGATCTAAAACTTCTATTTTTATCTAACATAACTGTTTAATTTTTTAACTTTAAATATATTAAACAGGGATTAAAACCAAAACTATGACTCTGGACAATAAACTTTAATTTTCTGAGTAATTCTGGAGAACTCTTCTTTGAAACAGTTTGTTCTATGGACTATTTTGTAGTAAAAAGGAAAGAAAACCTTAAACATTCTTTCCAAAATGGGAATCAATATGGGAGTAGCACATTTTTATAGATAAATCTTTTCTCCTGTCTGTGATTCCCCTGAAGGTAGAAATAAAAGACTACAAGGAAAATGCTTACGGTTCTGGATGCTATTGCAATAATTGTAAAAGTACGTAATGAGAAATTATACTTTGGCGTCGTCTTCATTAAGAGCTCTCTAGTGGCTTAAAATGCCAACTGGAAACAGCGTTAAAATGTATTTATTGAGGTGGGGAAAGTGCATTTTACTGTATTTTTATGAACAATGTTTATTTCATAGGATTATTTTTACAGTTGGCCACGCTCCTGAAATATATATTTGTTCCACTGAGTACAGTAGTTTGTGGCAATTGGGTTTTTACATAATATTACATTAAAAAAATTCTTTCGTTTTTGGAATTTGTAAAAGAAAAGAAAAAAAAAACAAGGTGTGATTTGGTAGACAATAAAATTACTTTTGTCTTAAATTTCATAATGCCTTTTTTTTTTTTTTGAAGTCCTAGAGCGTGAACGCTTTGCGTGGGGGTTGGGAGTGTGAGTTAATTTGACGTGTCTTTACCCATTCCACTTACTCTGTTGTGGAGAAACTGAATTGTAATTTTCATTTTTTATTTTATTGCTTCTGAGAAAGCTTCTTAAAGGCTTTAGTCAGGTTATTCTAAGAGCAGGAGTACAGCTGTCTGAAAGGGTGAGACAGTGTGTTGCTGGGACAGGCTTGGGGACAAAAGCTCCTCCCTTCTAAAGAAATGTTAATGTGGTGGAATCCCTTGTAAGGGTTTCCTTAAATCCCAGAACATTTGGACATTGACTTGTAGTGATCCTCTTCCTAGGCATTGAGGAATGGTATTTATGCACCCCAGATGTTAGTCTGACAAAACAGGTTAGAGCTGTCCAGTGACAAATCATGGTGGAGCTTCTGCGATCAGGGTGGGGGTTGGTATGCCATCCTTGGGTAAGCCCAGGATTGCTCCTACGGGGGTGTAACTGGTAGTGGAGGTACATGTATGGTCTTTGTGGTGGTTTCCAGTCCTTAGAGTAAAAAGCAAGCAAGGTGTTAAAGGCACCCTGAGAAACAACAGGCCCCAGAAGGCCAGGGTCTGCAGGTGTCCACTGAAAAACTGAGCAGATCCCAGGAAGAAGCTCATTGCCTTTTCTCGGCTCAAACAGTGAAGGGGATTTCTCCCATCGCAGCTGGAACAGGAGACTCCAGGTCCAGGAGGTGGGTTTCGAGGTAGCACCTCTCCAAAACTGATTTGGTGGTGGTTCCCTCATTCAAGGATTGTTTGGGGTAGGGCTCCTTTCACATAGGACCAACCTCCCAAAACAGTGTTTGTGGATCCCCGAGACAGTGAACGTCCATGGTCAGGGTAACCCCATTTGGGCTTGGCTACCCAAATCCTGAGCCAGTCTGCATTCAGAATGGAGCTAGTTTCATCAGGGGAAAGACCCACATGCCAGGAATGATAACAGTATTCCCTTCCCTAGTAAGGACTACTGATAAGCATTCTGGGAAAGAATCCTATTTTGAGTATCTAACCACGCTTGCTGAAATAGGTCTTAGCTGTCAACTAGAACACTTTCAGACTTTTTTTCTTTTGCTGGGCTCTGGCTACGAGGTGTCTCTGTTTTTCTAGGGCTTGTTCAAAGAGCCTTAAAATTGATTGACTAGGCTGCTGCGACTCTGTTCTTTTCCTGTAGAGCTTTAGGATATACATAGGAGAGAGGCTGCTTGGCAAGAGGAGAACATTTAGAGATACTTGCAGCAGTGAAAACTACTTCATCCTTTTATTTCTTTTTCCCTCAGTTTTGCAGGAGTACCTGGAGGAGGAGGGTGGTGTGTTCGTTCTCTGCAGCATAACCTGTAATGAACCAAATCTTTCTGGTTTCGACAAACAACTGTGGGGCTACTCCTTAACGTTTTTCACAGATCGCTTAATGTCGAGGAGAGCAACTGTCTCAGAAAAGGGGTCACCCCCTGCCCACATCAGGTGTTTCTGTTCAGCCCAGTGAATCACCCCGAGTCCATGGGACTGTGGCTGTAGCTGTGGGGCTGAGTGAGGTTTGCACGGCTCAGTCATGACTCAGGAGTATGGGGATGATTTTCGGAGGCAAAATTCACTGTTCCTGGTCTTTGGGCAATGTATTGATTCATCTGCCAACAGGTTGTATGATAGGGATTTCTCAAGGAAACAGAAGTACGTCTTCTGTTCTTTGTAGCAGTTCATTTTGTAAAAGCAACCCGTAAATACAAGGGAAATGATAAAGAATAAATAGTAAAAAGAGATACTATTGGTCACAGTGACTATACAGTTAAATATGATGGAGACAGCGATTTTCAAATGTTTTTTGAAGTTTTTGCCACAAAAGCATTATGTTTAATTCATATGAATTGCTATTATTGAAGTGAGATTATATCTAAAACTTTAAAACTTGCGTGTGATTGATGAGTTTTCTTCTAAAAAAACTGGGGTGGCCTAAATACTTCAGAATTTTTATGCATCTACGTGCTTTTCATTCTGCGCTCCCCCACCTTCAATTGTTTCTTGTGGTACTGTGAAAATGGGTACTTTAAAACTAGATAAGTAGGTAATGCACGTAGGTAAGAAACTAATCTGTCCAGGTAATTAGGTCTATTTTACAGTCTTTGTCAGTCTAAATATGTTGTTCACTCCTGACTGCTCTGTCAGCTGCATGTTTACGTATCCTGTCAGCTGATTGCATTCCAGAACACCTGCAAATCTTCAGATGTTTCCACAGTCAATGGGAAAATAAAGTCCTGGTGGGCCCCAGACACAGGAAAGAGAGCATATGACCTCCTAAGTACCCTCCCTGCCCAAAACTTTATGATCCTGTGCTTTCACTAATATATCCTCCTCCAGAGCAGTTTCTTCTCTGAAAGCCACCCTTCTCCCTGGGGGAAGCTGAGGTTTCGTTGTGTTCTCGGCTGCGAAAGCCTTCTCTCGGCAGTCAGATTGTTTCCACAGCGAGTATATCCAAAAACCTTAAAAATGTAAAGCGTACGCTTCCAGTTGTGCCTCCGGCAGCCATTTTATGGGAGGGCGGTCGTTCTCCTTAAAAATGCTCTGGGATGGTTCACCAGCAGGTAAGACTTTTACCTCTTTTTCCCCCCAGAGAGCTGTGAGCTCCCGGCAGAGGCGACCACCACTCATGCCAACACTGTGGGGTACGCAGCTGGTAGATCGGCATCACCTGCGCTGTCAGTCGCCCTTTGTAAGTGATGCACAGCGTGTTGTTACCCACTGTTACGCTACAGAAGGTGTTTGATCTCGTCTGTGTACTAATCTTTTATCAAGAGAATTTGATACCAGGCTTGGGGTGGCTCTGCAGCCTCAGTGTCTGGATGTTTTCCCAATTTTGTGTGCAGCTGCAGGCTGGGATGGGAAAGGTGGTGGTCACTCACACGAGAAGGGCAGCTCTGTGTATCATAGAATAGTTAGGGTTGGAAGGGACCTTAAAGATCACCTAGTTCCAATCCCCCTGCCCTGGGCAGGGACACCTCCCACTTAACCAAGTTGAGTCGAGGTGGCTCTGGGATGGTTTAGATGCACTCCCAGCTTGCCTGGAATTAGTGTCAGGGAGGTTTGTTGCCCTGAAATTTAGTGTTCCTTCAATCTTATTAGGAAAACAAAAACCAAAAAAAAGTTTCATGAATAAGTTATTGCAAAACCAGATTGACCCATTCAAGCATGCAGATGTTTTATTTAAATATTCCTCAAATGTCTATTTATTCAGCATAACGCATGTATTATGCTGCCTTCTGAAATACGATATATGACTGTCAAACAAAATTGTCAAAACAACAACCTCAGTTTCTTTGTATGATACACAGAAATAATTACATTTCATGTACAGTACAGATGCATTTTACACAGTCATCAACAGTCATTCACTACCAAAACAGCATTTAAATCACCTAAAACACCAAAAGAATGTGTATTTCCCAAATTCAGAATAAATTAATGATTTTGCATGTGACATGGAAATAGGAGACAGGACTGGAATTCTGCAAAATCATACTAAATTATTCCTTAAGCTGCATTTTAGAAATGAAAGTACAAGTTGCTTCAGGGGTGTAACTGTTATGCAAGTGTATTGCTGTAGTGCATTCTTTTTAGTCGATATGAAAAGGAGAATAAAGAGATTTTAAAAGACACGTGACCTGATGGAGTCAATAGGTTTCCTGGGTTGTATGTAATCTGTCCCAAAGTGGGCTTAGCAACTGCCTTTTTGCATTATTTACCTGATAGAACTCGTCAAGAAGTACCATGTGGCATAAAGAAGATTGCTAATCTCAAGGCAGTTTTTATACCAATACCTGGTTGCCAAAAGGTGGAGAGGGAGCCATTTTTTGTATGAGTAACCATGGGTAGAAGTAGGATGCGAGTGAAAACTCGGGGTCCATTCTGCCTCTCTTAAACCCCATTAAAACTTACGTGACCCACCAGCTTCAGCAGATCTACTGCGATTTTCCAACAGGGGGAAAGAGAGGAGAGTGACGTCAGGCGATCGACCTCGGCAGAGTTCCTCAGCAGGAGCGCTCCTCTGGGTCAAGGGACAGCCCGTGCTTCTGCTCTCCCATCAGGTGTGAAAGAAACGTAGAAGCTCAGTTTACAATGACTAAGTAATTCTGATTTGCAGAAAAAGTGGGAAGGTAATTGCAAATTAACCAAGTTTCCGAGTAAGTAAATGATAAGGTAAGAGTAATGCGTGACACTATGTACTCCTTTTAACTGCAATTTAATCGTAGTATGTGGTATTGTACTTTGGTGTATGTACTGTAGCATGATAGTCCATCATCTACTCTTCATCTCTCTTGACAGGTAGAGAGGAAGACCAGTATTTGTGTGCAGTAAAAAGTGTGTCATCAGCAAGTTTCAGTTTTAAGTGGGTATTTTCTCTTAAAGTAAAATTTCAGGTCAGTAGAATGCTAGCAAATACTGTACTGAAACATATGCTACTCAAACTATTAAATAACTGTGTTAATCATTTATTGTAATGGCATCTAATGCACTGAGCCTTTTGATTTATATGCATATTTTATTTTGCAGACATGCAATTATTTCTGATCCAGTGTTTTTGATGTATATATGTATGTATTGATATGCACATATTCCATGTATATTTGTTGTATATGATATATGGTATGTCATGTATATAGGAAGCATTATGATACATCTCCTAATGCACCGTCATGAAGAAAAATGACACTTTTTTATCAGAAGGGTTTCTGGTAACATCGATGTCTTTTAAAAATTAAGCCAAAAAGCCTTAACTAGAAGAGTCTTCATATTAGCTTTTAGGCCTGCCCACGTGGGTAAATTCCAATTGAAAGAAATTATATTTTTATCGCTTTGGGGCCCAATCCATTATTGTATCAGTGTTCTTAGGTAATTAAATATCGTCACACAATAAAAATTCTGAAACAAATTTTAGGATGCAAGTTTACAGATAATTACAAAAAGAATTTAGCCATCTTTTTTACTGAATATCTTTTGGTGTCTTCCAGCGTAGCCAATACTCTGGATGCTGCAGAACGTCAACAGGAGATAAGTGTTAGCTGATCCTCAAAACACCTTTTTTGTAATTTTAATTCAAATAGGATTGATCCTGAAAGAGCACACTGGGACGAGAGGTTTGTTGTGAAAATACAGAAGTAGACAAGATGTCTATGGAAGAAAGGACTGTGTTGATTCATCAGTAGCCTTGAAATCCCAAATAGTACAGTAATGTTGGAGCGGACAACAAACTGTCGTAGAAATAGAGGACGATGGACAAAAAGAACAATGACTGAATAGCGCATTCATGGTGCATGGTTTGGCTGTAAGGTTATTTAAATGTTTGCCATTAGAAGTTTGTAGCGTAGATGAAGTTGTGTAAAACACCTTAAAAAAAAAAAAAGAAATCCTGATTCCTGATACAACAGGTGTACAATGACTTATTGCAGTTGTAACAGTACCTAGGAAGCAAGATAAAACAATAGTAAATATTGAACTAACTGAACACCTTTAGTTCACTAATGAGTGTTTGAATAAGAAATACTGCATTTTTCAAAGGGAAGTTATTTGTACAACTACCATGGAACATTAACAATCAGCTTGTTGTAAGTGCACGGAAATGCCCCTTTCTACAGTAATATTTTATCATGCCTAATCTGAAAAACAACAAAAGTAAACTGAGATCACAGCTCCAAATAATTTCAGCATGCATTATGGTTGTAGTTCTTTCAGTCAGTACAAACATATTTCATATGAGCATTTTTTTCTTTCATTTTTTGATAGTTTCTCAACAAGTTTGTGGTTCATTAACAGGAAAAAAAAAAGACACGTTATCAAAATG